TCTTACCGTCCGAGGAGATGAGGCTACCTAGGTAATTAAACTGCTGGACTGATTTGAGCACTGATTTGCCAATGGTGATATGGGGATGATGGAAGACTTCCTGAGGTGCTGGTTGATAGAGAACTTCTGTCTTCTTTAAGCTGACTTCCAGCCCAAAGAGCTCAGCAGCGTCTGCAAAGCAGGATGTTAAATGCTGCAGAGCTGCTTCTGTGTGGGCAACGAGGGCGGCTGTCTCAGTCTGAGGAGACTGGAATGTTTGCTAAAGAGGATGAATTATGAGATAGAGCAAACTCCTCTCTCTCAGCAATTGTAAATTCAAAATTAAGGGGCTTTAATCGAGAAAGTGTGGGAAAAAACAGAAGACATAACAACCCTTTATTAAAAGATATATGTATGTTGGCAAAAACAGTAACAGAACACAAAAAAACTAGACAGTAATCCTAGAAAAAGAAAGTCTGAATGAATACTTCTCTGTCCTTTAGCACAGTCCTAATCGTGGCCTGCAGGGGCGCTGTTGGATCACTGGCGGTCCCCACACGGGAGAGGGGTCTGGGGGGTGGTCTCGGGTTGCAGGAGAAGCCAAAAAGAAGATGGGGGACCCTTCCCCCAATGGAAGGAAAGGGAAAGGAGAGCAGTTCACCCCAAACAGGACTCACTGTTGTTCTCAGTTGATAGCACCCCAAAAGCTCCTCCTTTTCTCCCAGTGAGCACAGAGACTGATGAAAACACAGCAAGTCCGGGCTGGAGAAGACAGACAGCTCACAGGCAAGTTGAGGCCAGCAGCCAGGGCTGACCAGGATGGGACACCAGACAAACAGGCTTCCAGGCCTTGTCTCCAAATGCGGCAAACACAGACCCTATCTCCGTCCTCCAAAGAGAACCCAGCAGTCTGAATCTCTCCCCTCTGAGCAGAGCCAGCCACTCCCTCCCACAGTAATTTTAACATTCTGATTTATCTCCTTTCTTCTTATACAAAGTGATGATGACTGCATCATGAAGGTTTGATAGTAGTTCACCTGGTTCCCAACAGTGCACCACAAACTTGTGAAATTTAGCATGGATTGCTTGGCCGCCATGTTTCCAGACTTCAGGTATTCCATCAATCCCAGCTACCTTGCCGATTTTCACCTGCTGTATGGCCTTAAGAGTTTCTCCCATAGTAGGGGCAATATCCAATTCAATCTTCACTGGTTGTTGTGAGATGGACTGAATTGCTGAGTCTTGAACTTCATGGCTAGTACTGAAAAGAGTCTGAAAGTGTTCAGACCAGTGATTCAGAATGGAGGTTTTATCTGTCAGAAGCATTTGACCATCAGCACTGAGTAGAGGGTTTTGGACCTCATATGTAGGCCCGTATGCTGTTTTCAGGGCCTTATAGAATCCTCTGTAATCACCTATATCGGCGCATAATTGAGTTTTTTCAGCTAGACTGATCTACCACTTGTTCTGGGTGTCACAGAGTTTCTGTTGGAGCTTGCTGCATGCGAGACAAAAGGCTGCTTTTCTTACATGACAAGATGGCAGTGCAAGGTGTGCTTGGTGAGCGGTTCTCTTCTTCCTCAACAATTCCTGGATCTCTTGATTGTTTTCATCAAACCAGTCCTTGTTCTTCTTGAAGGAGAACCCTAAGGATTCTTCAGAGGACTGCAGGATGCTGTTTTTAATATGGTGCCAAAGTGTTCCAGGAGAGGGATCTATAAAATGATTTTCGAGCCTAGTTTGAAGATTTGCCTGGAAGCTGTCTCTCACTGTGGCTGTTTGAAGATTGTTAACTTGGAGTCTCCTCCTTGGAATACCGCCCCTTTTAGGTTTGAACTTAAGGTTGAAGTTAAGTTTACAGCGCAAAAGTCAGTAATCTGTTTGGCTTTCTGCACTAGGCATCATGTGGGTGTGATGGACAACGCGAACGTCTGTCTGTTGCACTAAGACATAGTCAATGAGATGCCAGTGCTTAGATCTAAGATGCATCCAGGTTGTCTTCAGACTGTTTTTCTGCTGAAAGATAGTGTTAGTGATGGTGAGCTCTTGCTCTGCACAGAATTCTAGCAGAAGGTGTCCATTATCATTGCAGTTTCCAATACCATGCTTGCCTAATACTCCTTTCCAGGCTTCTAAGTTCTTTCCTACTGTGGTGTTGAAATCACCAAGGATAATGATCTTATCATCTGCAGGAACCTTCTGGGTAAGGCGGTGCAGGTCAGTGTAAAATGTATCTTTTTCAGCAGGGTCAGCTTGGAGAGTTGGGGCATATATACTAGAGAGGACAACATGTTACTTGTTGTGGAGTGGGAAGGCACAGGGAGATAATGCAATCAGAACGACCTGTCGGCAGATTTTTGAGTTTAGGAACAATAGAGTTTTTAATCATGAAGCCAACTCCTGAAAGACGCCTTTCAATTCTGTGTTTACCTGACCAAAAGAGTCTGTGACTGGCACCATGTTCTCTGAGGCTGCCTTCCTCATGAAGGCAAACTTCACTGAGAGCAGCAATGTCGATGTTGAGACGTGACAGTTCGTGGACAATTAGGGCAGAACGGCACTCAGGACAACCACTATCCATAGTATCAAGCATGGTTCTGATGTTCCAGCATGCGAGTCTCAATTTGGGTACACCTTTGAAGACAGGTGTATGCCTTTGTTTCTTACACTTTGTTTGATCACATCAGAAGATGCCCGTTGGCCGCGATTAACCAACCGGGTGAAGGGTAGAGGTGAGCTTTGGTTAGGCCACCTTTTCTAGGCCCCTCTCCATATGGGGCAAGCAGTGCTGTCCCTGAAAAAGGCTGCTTGGTCATTCAGGATGCTGCCAAAAGAGACTGTCATCTCCGGGGTCAGTCTCAGGCAACCAACGTCCTGAACTGCCTGTATGCAGGGTTGGGTCTGCGGCTTCCAGTGCATCTTTCACCTGCCGTTTCAACTCTCACCCATCACTACAGGGCTTTACAAATGTGAGTATGGCCCTCGAGCCTGCGCAATGGATTTTTTAGGTGAGATGCAGCGTGTGCAGAACTGGTCCCACCCTTTACTCCTAGGGTTCATCTGCCAGGGCCGAGTGAGCTTGGACAGTGGCAGTGAGGTCCTCAGGACGTAGGTTTAATTAGTGTCCTTCTCTTAGATGGATGGCCTTACAGGGCTAAGCGAGCTCCATCTGCTCGGGTTTAGAATTAGAGTTGTCCTTTTTGTAGGATGACTACCTGAAGGCTAGTGAGCCCATTCTGCCCAAATGACCCTTCAGTTTTGACCTGTCTGGCATGGGAGACCCTGCTGAAGGCATGTACCATCGCCAGCATAGCTCGCAATCTCATAGGGACACGCAAGCTACTTCCCCATTAAAATGGTTAGGGCAAACCTTTCACTCCCTACTTTTCTCCCAGCCACCTGTAGTCAGACCCAGGGATATTCCCAGGGACATTCCCTTGCCCTGAGCACCCTTTCAGGATGCTAAAATTCCAAAGCAAACCGTTTCGGGGCAGTAGCTGCAGGTGAGCCAAAAGCAAAAGCAAGCCATTCCACTTCCCTCACCCACCTGGGGCTCAGGTACCTCCCATGGCCCCAGCCCAGCCTAAACTCCTCAACCCCCCAGAAGAACCCACTATCTACACAAGAGTATTAATTAGTTATTGGTTAAATCTACTATTTCTGTATATTACGTTATAAAGTACGTCACACTTTATTATGAAACATCCACGCTGGAACTACTTGAACCTTTACTATATTCTGTCTGTTGATGAGTCAATGGTTTGTTTAATCTTTCTGTAAACACTTGAGTTGTTTTTGTTCTTGGTATATCTGCTTTGGAAAAGGTCTGACCTGAAATAGCCTCCTTAAAACAAACAAAATAAACCCCAACCACCACATAATTTGGACTTGGAATTTAATTAATTATAACATAGAACCGCATAAATACAACACTACATTATACATTATATATTATATAAAAGGAAAAATGTTATGGTGAGTCCATCATCAGTGGGAATAAATTACTCAAAATTTTAATTCTTTCGTTTTTGAGATCTTCAGTTTGCATCAGTCTAGGTTTCATTGAACTCTCTATGTTTGTTTAATTATTTTGTGTAACTAAGAACAAAATTGGGCCTCCTTCCTTTTGGATTTCAAATCCTATTAATCATTGATAATTCTTTAGTTTCAGTCTTGCTGAACACCTAATGATGACTTATGGAGCTGTCCTCATTCATAGTTTTGAAGACTGCGTACCTAAAGTACTCAGAAACCCCTGTACATAAGAGACGTTTGATTTTTATAAGTTTGGAGAACATGTAACTTCCTACAGCACCCAGTAATTTTGATGCTACTTGGCATCAAAGCAAATGTAGTACAAAACAAAAGATTGTAGTACATCCATCTTAGCCAAAAATATGTGTCAAACAGATCACATTTCCATCATACTGAAGATTGAATGGGAAAAAAATGGGAGAAAAATCATGTCTTCCTGTCATGGTAGAGATATTTGTGATCGTGTGTATAATGTGATATGGTATTTATTTGTACAGTCATTGTAATATATTCCCTTTCCCCCACTTTGAGTCTGGTGTGTTTTGTCTGGAAAAACCCATCTCACATTAGGTTGAGATGTGGGAGGGGGCTTAGACTAGGGGATTGGATTTTGGGGCTATCTCAAACCATGACACTTCCCCACAGTTCAGTTTAAGAACTGAATTCTGTCATCCTCTAGGATTGCTGTTTGTGATGCAGGTGTTTGGAAAGGGCTATTTCTTCTCCCTCCCCGGTTGCTAGCAGCAGTTAGACTTAGCAAAATTAACAACTTCTATTTGAGCTGTGTGCTGCAGGCAGAAACACAAACCTCTGGGTGCCTATATGAAGCTGACTAATAAACAACCCTGGCAAATTATCCTCAAAGCAGCAGTCTTTGATCATGCTTACATGTGAAATGAAGAGAATTGAGATTTTGGGTTTTTTTCTCCTCACAGTATATTAGAAACTATATATTAAAAAAAAACCCCAAACCCTCCTTTCTGGGGTCCATTCTCACTTGGATCTTTATTCCAAGTCTCTGCTTCTGCCTTGTCAGTCACAGTAGCATTGTGTCAGCTGATGGAGGATAATTCAGTTATGTCTGCACAGTGAAAGAACATGTCCCACAGTTTAATCAAATCCGGGTAGAAATAATCTTCAGTTTTTATCTAGGATCAAAGAACACATGGTTAAATGTCTAATAATGCAATTTCCTGTTAATATGCTGGTCACTATGTTATAGTCAGTGACCAGATTACTGTGTTTTCTATTAAGGTTGCAGCTGCCAAATGCAGAGTTTGCATGAAGGAAAAACAGATGTCTGCCTAAAAGATGTCTTTTGCAGTGAAAGAAGACGGGAGAGGTGTTGTTAAAGAACTTGAATTATGTTAACTCTGCTATGTACTTGATAGCTGCTCAACCAAGGGATTTCTTAGCATGGCTTTTGAAATTAATTTTATCTAATCTATATTTGAAAAAGACTAATTTGATTTGTTATCATTTACATTTAATTTTATGTTTGATTTTCTTCGGTAAATAATATATGAATCAAAAAAATTTGCAATGTCTTAGTATGCTTGCATATCCAATTCACACTCCTGAGTATAGCTCTTCAGTAAGATAACTGTCCTCTTTGTTTATAATTAATGAAATGTGAATGTATATAGGAACAATTATGCATCGGTATATTTTCTTCTTCTCATGCTTTGATAAGGTCAGTAAGAATTCTGGGACTGTAGACACAAACTTGCCCTGTGAAAAATTTTCTTTCTTATTCCCTGACATAAAGACATAATACTTAGGTCAAGATTACGAAAAGAATCTTTATATCACAATAAGAATAGCGTAATATATATGTATATCTATCTTTTGTTTTTGTTACATACATATTGTCATATTATATACATATATACTTACAAATTTCTGTATATACACAGAAAAATGCACCTTTGGACTATTGTTAACAAGTTAAGGAACCCTACTACTACTGTAAAACCACTATTATGTGACAATTAGAAGACTGGGAAGGAGTGAGATAGAGATGCAGTGGAATATGGTGGCTTCCAGGAAGCTGTGTCTTAGTTCAACTGATTTTTTAAATTACAGAAGAAATACCACAGCATATAAATAAAAGCAGAATTGTTGTGATGAAACATCCACTACTTCAATGTAGTCAGTGCTGCACTGTAGGTAGCGAATCTCTTTGAAAGCTATTTTAAACTCGATTTGCTTTTAGACTCTTCTTTGACTGTATATAAGCCTAGTGTCTGGTTTTGTAGTAGCTAGTGCTTTAATGTAGCTCTGATTATAATTATACTTGCTACAGATTTCACAGCTGGTCCTTTTTCTGCTTCCACTAGATGGTGATTTCCTATTCCTTTAAGACAGAATAACTCTGATTTCTGGAAGAACACCTGTAGTCTGAGAATCACAGCTGAAGAATAACACTGATTATAGTTCATCACATATGATATAAATCCTACCTCTAGAAATTATTTATACCAGCACATTTTATTTTATTGAAATATTTGCATTCAAAACTTTAAATAAATTATGGCAATCATTCTGCCTGCTAATACAAATAAGAATTATATAATTTTATATAAAATTATATAATTTTTTGGAAGGAATTGTGCATTTCAGTCAGGCCTTCTAGCCTAACAAGTCTAAATCTCTTCACTGTGTTTTGCTTTGGTATTTGATTTCATCTCTTCCTATGACGTTGCAGTTTCAGGACTGATAGAATTGTACCCCTTTAATCAGCATAAATGTTTTTTGATCTTCTTAAAAGGTTAATTAATCTAGTAATATAATGGTGTAGGTTTTTTGTCTTTAAATATATATTTTGTTACTAAAAATAAAATTAGTGTGAATATAATGTAATTATTACAGCTATGGAACCAAGAAGACTTTTTTCTCTAATCGTATTATGCTTGAAAATTTCATGTTAATTGATCCCATAATTCCCTTGCTTAAAATGTTAGACAAAAGGAGGTAAAATCATTACTTGAAATTGGAAATTTTGTGAGTTCCTCAGAAAACTAAGAAATCTATCTGCTTGGATTCAAAAAGGATCAGTTGTTTTTCAGTGATGTAACAAAAGTGAGTTGTCAAAATAATTGCATAAATTCTCAGGTGTAAAGTGAGAGGGCATCTCTTGGGCCTTTGTGGATATTGTTCTGTACAAGCCTGTAAATGTGAACTAGAAAACAGATTGGTATAGTTATGTCTGCCATATCCAATAGTGAATGTTCTTCTGATTCTGCTACTCCATGGATCTCTACAACCTATGACCTATTTCTGGAGGGAGTTATTTTATGGTTTTGGCCAGTAATTCCTTGATGCACTGGATTTGATCCAATTACCTGCTGTAATGAAATTTTTCACACAAACATAAACTTAACAAAAGTTAATTTGAATAGTCCAGCATTTTTCAGTGAAATAATCCTGCACCAAAATCCAAAGGGCCAGTATTATTTCTTCAGTCAATTTATCACTAAAACAATGAGGATTTTTAGTCAAAATTTTATTTGATTTTTTTTTTTCTTTCCATAGGCTCTTATTATTTGCTGTCTATGAGTCACAGCAAACTAGTCATCACTTCTGTGTGATTGGCAATTTCACATTCTTTTTCTGAATTTCTAAATACTAAGTATTAGTTTTACAAATCATGTTAACTCTCATCCCTGTTTCTTTTCTTATACCTAAAACCCCAGATTTTCACAAAAATCCGAGAAGTGCTGTTTATTCATCTAAGATTTGATCCCAGAATACGATTATTGTTTTAGTCATCATCTAGCAAAGCACCTGAAAGCTTGAATTCCTTACAGAAGTTACTTCTCTTCACTGAGACTTCCGGACATGTCTCTTTCTCAAAGTGCATCAGCATCAGCATTTATAAAGTTTATCATACACTTTTGTTAAGAACTGATTCTAGATTCTCTTGCCAAGTTCCAGAGACACTTGTAAAATTTCAAATATTTTTGCTTGAACTGTAGAAATTTGCTGCTTTGTTAACCTAATACTTTTTGAAATACGAGGAAAATTTCCTAGTTAATAACTTCATCCTTTAATACCTGTTCTTTGCTTAACTTGTTGCTCTATTTGTTGAAGAAATAAATATTTTTTCTCTGAACTTTTGTTGAAACAACTATAGTTCATCTCTCTTTACAGAAAAAAAAAAATAAAATCAGACTTTCTAGCAAGATTTTGATAATAACTGGTGCTAAATACTAGTTTTGAGCCTTCTTGAGTATTTTTAAGATCATAAGGATAACTATATTGTGTCAGACTAAAGGTCCAGTTAGTCCAGTACTTCCTCTATGGTGTTTGCCAGTAATGGATGCTTAAGAAAAATGACTGAAGAACAGTCATTTCTACATAAATAGACTTTAAAAGCTACCTGTCTTCTAGTAGTCCAGAGACGTGAATTTGCATACTCACACCTACCTACATGCTTATGTTTTTCTCACAAAGGTTGTAGTTTGCACAGGAAAGTGTTGACAAATGTACTGAAGTTGTATTGGTTTCAGGAGGCTGGAAAGTGAATGTTCAAATATTTAAAACCAAGTATGAAAATTATTTAAAAGCATGGCATATCCAGTAAATCCTACTAAAAATATTTCATATCTTTATATGCTTGTTATTTGATAAAATCAGAATCCAACTTTAATGACCACTTTTTTTTTGAAGAATATTGCCAGTGGTGGTTACAGCTGGAGTCAAATCCTTAGGAAATGAAATGAAATAAAATGAAATTAAATGAAAGCTTATATAGCCTTTTTAATACCAATGTGATTTTATAATGCTTTTAAAAAAGAAAAATAAATGTCCGAAATAATAAAATAAATTTGCAGTGATCATGAAAGTAACACCACTGTATTTCCTCGACTGCTAGATTATGAACTGTCTTTGTGTTAGTGGGGGTGTTCAATGTTCTGCTTACAAAGATACAGGGAACTTACTTGTTAAATAAAATTTGCTAATTTTTTCAGGATTTCTTTGGATGAAAACCTAAAGGACAAAAAAAGTTAGTGTTTCTGAGAGAGTAATTGAATGAGATAACACACTTTTTATTCTGCTTTATATATAAGCATATGTGCCTGTAATGGTGGTGCTAATACCAGTTACTGTACTACAATCTATTGCACAGTGACTAGGGCTCCAAAATAGCTTCCATATTTAAAACCACTTAATTTAAGCTACAAAAATAAGTCTTTCCTCATGACAAGGAAGTATGACTGATAGTATCAAAATAAAGCAAGAAATGTAAATACTTTATTTTCTTGTATTTATATTTTATTAAAGTTCATAGATTATTGATATTTATTAATAAATATCTCAATTTTTACAGGAAATTAAGGCATTTGAATACATCCACAGGAGAGCAACAAAATTACTGAAAGGGCTAGAAGGAAGCCCTATGAGGAGCTGCTGAGGACGTGGGTTTGTCTAGTTTGGGGAGAAGCAGGCTGAGGGGCAACCTGATTGCTCTCTGCAGCTTCCTGAGGAGGGGAAGTGGAGAGAGAGCTGCTGGTCTTCTCTCTCTGGTATCCAGTGATATGACATATAGGACTTGTTCAAAGCTGAGCCAGTGAAGGTTTAGACTGTATTTTAGGAAGCATTTCTTTACTGAGATGGTGGTCAAACACTGGAACAGGCTTCCTAGAGAGATGGTTGATGCCCCCAGCCTGGCAGTGTTTAAGAGGCATTTCAGCAATGCCCTTAACCAAGCTGCAGCTTTTGGTCACCCCTGAAGCAGTCAGGCAGTTGGACAAGCCTTTCCAACTGAAATTGCATTTCCTTTTCCTTTTCCTTTTCCTTTTCCTTTTCCTTTTCCTTTTCCTTTTCCTTTTCCTTTTCCTTTTCCTTTTCCTTTTCCTTTTCCTTTTCCTTTTCCTTTTCCTTTTCCTTTTCCCTTTCCCCTTTCCCTTTCCCTTTCTCTTTCCCTTTCCCCTTTCCCTTCCCCTTTCCCTTCCCCTTTTCCTTCCCCTTCCCCTCTCCCTCTCCCTGTCCCTTTTCCTTTTCCCTTTCCCATTTTCCCTTTCCCTTTCCCTTTCCCTTTCCCTTCGCCTTTCCCTTTCCCTCTCCCTGTCCCTTTTCCCTTTCCCCTCTTCCCTTTCCCTTTCCCCTTTTCCTTTTCCCTTTTCCCTTTCTTTTCTCTTTCCATCTATTCATAGTTCTGGCAATTATGCTTTCTGATGAGACTGTTTTTCTCCAAAAGTCACTAGAATCACTAAATATGCTTATACATATGCTAGACATACAGCTCTCAAACAGTCTGACCTAAACAGCAATTTAAATGAAATCTAATTTAATTATACTACTTTATGCCAGAACTCCCCACAAAGAGAATGCAAAGATAAGGGCACTGTACTTGAAATAATGCAAGATTCATAGATTAGTCACATATTTTTCCTCTTACAACTCTCTCTTTAATAATTTACAGTTTTGAACTAGAACAACATAAAGGACATGATTGATTGGTGTGCATTAAGCATCATCAGCTGCTGACACATTTTCAGAGTAAATGAATATTTTCTTGTTGGAATAACCTGTGCTGTCTTCAGTTATGTCTCTTATCAAATAGGAGCACATTAGAGAAGTGTTTTAAGCATAACCTTTTGATATGCAGCCATAGGGCAGATGTATTTACTGACAAGCAAGAGAACACAGTGGTCTTTAGTTTAAATAATAGAGTTTTCACATGAAGACTCATCCCCATATCAAGTAGTAGATTAAACTGATGTTTCTATTTGGTATCTTTAACCTTTCTTTCCTTAGTGAAGAGATTTTTAGGAGTGCTTATGGTATATGTAAGAAACCCATCTTGCTTTGATGAGGCTTTTTTTTCTTGCTGACCTCAATCCAATTTAAAGTTTCCCCAAATTAATAGTTAAATCCTACCTAGCTGTAGATAATTCTAGCAGCACATTGATAACAAAGGAATATGTTATATGTTATAAGGTATGTGTCCTCTTAATTCTTCCACAAGGAAACTAAAATAATTAAGAGCAAGAAAAATGTTTTCCCAGTATCTTGTAATAGTAGTTAATTAAAAATTAGCTTTAAAAACACTAGAGAAGTCATTCAAAGTCGAAAAGCCTTAGAGCCAGATTCTTGGTCTTTCATGAATCACCTTTGTGTCACAAACTGTCTGGATGCCATGGTGGACTCCCACACTGTAGAAAAAAACTTTCAGCACCTCATGGCTGGCATCAACTGTCCTGTGCCACATTTCCTTTCTCTATGTCTCCCTTTAACACAGAAACATTCTAGACAGGTTCATCTGAACGTGCTGAACACACTGTGTACTACCCATCATTGCAAACCTAAATTATTAATCACTACAATCAGATCCAAGAAAAAGAAAAAACTACGATGATGGGGAATTGAAATATCCACAGTCGGGTATTAAGAGAGTATTTGGTGATGACAGACTGTTGTAAAGCAAAGGAGTTGGAAGTGGAAAAAAGGAGATTTTTATGGAGACGGTCCTGCAAATACACCTCTCAGTAGTTGTGTCAGTGGAGGGAACAGCTCCCTGAAATGCCTGAAGGGACTGTGTTGCAAGTGGAGAGAGGATGATGGCATTCTGTGCCTTCAATACATCACTGGTGAAGTTCTCCAGAAGATAGCAGGTGCTTTTTCATCTGAGCCTTTGAATCTAAAACTACCTGCCTAAGGTATGACATGCAAAGAGCTTCCATAATTTCTTAGGTATCTTCGGTGCCTGCCCCAGAAGACAATGGCTGCCACGGTCATAGAAAGAGTATACAGAAGTTACCTAAAGATCTTCCTACAAGGATCCTCCAGACAGCTCTAAAGAAGCATCAGGTTGCCAAGGCAGGAGGAAACTGTTTTATAACAGACCACATAGTAGCCCAGTACTTTTATTCAGCAGGTATTCTAAAGCACTAAGCTGTGCCTTGTGACATTGGTCATGTAAGTTCTGAATTGGTTTGGACCTCAGACATAGATGAACTCTACCAGAAATATTACACTTAGAGTTTCTAGCTTAAAAGAGGTAAAATTTTTCTGGTTCTGTGTTGCAGATAGTCTCCTTTCCTTTTTACAGGTAATTGAGATAAAAAAAAAATTCTATGTGAAAAGCATAAGTTGATAGTAATTCTAGTGAGCCTTTAAACATGTTTTTTAAACTTAATATTCTGCCCAGAACTGCATTCATTTACTCCTCGGAAGGTTTGGAACGTTATTAATATTTAATAGGAATGTTTCTGTAATTTTTTCCAAAATCTGGAGCATGAAAATGTTTTAAAATAACTGATTTCAATTATAGGTGAAAAATATCAATTAAGAAAAAAGCCCAACAAAACATACTAGAGACATCAGAGCACACAATGGAAAATTGTGCAAGTCTTCCAAATATTTGACTATTGTAGGCTATTAGCCTGTGTGCAATATTTAGAAGTACTATACAATATTTAATAATGCAATATTTAAAGTACTATGACCACTAAAACCTTGTAATTCTGTAATTTAATATTTAAAATCTAATTCCTACTAAAAAAGATTCAAAAGACAGGATCACCTAACCAGAAGCTAATAGAATAGTGTAACTTTATTATAACCAGAATTTATGAAAGTGATTATAGTATTTGAAAATATTTCTTGCAGCTCCTGAGACCATTTCTTTTTGTTGTTTTGGCTGAGATTTTTAAAATATCTCTTTTTGTCTTCTGTGTGTGGTACTTTTCATAAAGCATTCCCTCACTCTCATTCATTCCCCTCTACTTTTCCATTCTACTTGTTTAATTAACAATTATCTGTTCTTACCAGACATCAACTACATGAATGTAAAGGCCCCCAAATGACCTATGTGTCTTGTTTTCTGCCTGTCAAAGATGGAAATTAACTGCCTTGATTAAAATACCAGTCAATAATAGGTAAAATTTTATTCTTCCTTAGGCTTATATTACTTAGTTTGCTTAGAAATAAACATCAGTCAATGCAAATACAGATGTTTTATTTCAGAATTTAAATCTAAGAAGACAGTCATCATATGAGTTCTGTGGTCTTGCAAAATGGACTATGATAACATACCAGCAGAGAATAACTATACCTGAACTGGAAAAGGTTTTCTTGAAGTATATAACAGTACCTAAGGATACATAATGATTTACAGCTATAGTGATTTACAACTATAAATATTACAAAATATGGAAATAATTTCTTTTCTGCTTAGTTCTTCCATAAGAATCAAAGCTAATAAACAGAAAGACCATGTACGTTGTTGCAATACCTGTTTCAAATAAATCAAACTATTCTAAAAAAATATAATATTTAATATTTAAAGTATGTGATTTTTTCTAATGTGCTCTCTCTCCTGTCAAAAGGTATTTTAGTTCCTTAACAATCATACTAAAGGATCTATCTTTAGGGCACTTATGAATATATTCTGGTCTGATTACAAAGGAGATGCTTATGAATGTGTGGAACAGAAAAGTTTTGACACATTGTTACTGATATTTGGGTTTATTTCTTACATGATCATAAACACTGCATAAATTAAGTCTATTAAAATTTTAATTACTTCCTTATAGCAAGTGAATATAAAATAATATCAACAGGAATGTGCTTATCTATGTTTGAAACTAATAAACTTCACTTTATTCATAGTCACGCATCTGTTATATACTGATATCACTTTAGAAAATCTTCCTTTTTTTAATCATCCTATTAACATAGCATTAGCTATGAATTTAGAATTATGAATTAGAATTTGAGAACAATCCCAAATATGTGGTTCCTTCCCAGACTGACACAAATCAAATGCATAGGTCCAGAAAAGTGTCTCCTGTCTCAAAGTCAGTCAGTGTTCGGATATTTATCTGCAGCTTCCTTATGCTTTGTGTAAAATCATTTAAGAACTTTCATCTCGATTTGTCTTACTGTACACTGCTTTTTATTTTCTGTAATCAAGAGTTCCTAAGCCAACCCTACCTAGTTTTAACACTGCACAGGAAATAGTTGATGTCTCAGAT